CACAAAAGCGGTTTGTGCAAGTCTTACTCCAAATGCAAACTCTAGCTTTCCTGAAAGTGGACTCAGGCTGTAGTTCTTGAGTCTCAGTGTATGTGGCCCGTTGCTAGGAGGAGATAGTGTGTGAAATGCAGATCTAGGCCCTGCTCTGCAGGGTTGGTGCTGTCAGTTTTGCGCAGGGCCTCTCAGCCTGCATTCCTGAAGCTCCTGGTGACTCAGAGGCAGGCGTCTACAGATCATTCTAAAAACACCTGGGAGTGGTTGATTTTTCATTCTGAGACCCTGGCAAATAACACTGCAGTAAAGTTAGTATGTCAAAATTAGGCTGACACTGAGACTTGTGCACCCATTAAGGGGTGTGACAATAGGTCCTTTAATTTGCCTAATTTCCTTCCTGTAAAGCTAGAGATTTATAATCCATTCCAGCTCAGATCCCAGAGAACTTCGCAACTAACCTTTCTGCATTCATCCAGTAGGTGGCGCTAACTTGTTTGCATGCTAAGCCGACTGGACCGCTCAAGGCAGGCGGCGAAACGGTCACAAGCAGAAATGACCAACACTAACCAGCTATCCCGAAACCTCTCAGGGGAAGTTTAACTCCCCACGTCACCAGCACATGTAATTTCTAATCTGTCATGTAGCCCAACTGCTTTAAAATATCTCCTGCTTCTCCCCAAACCTGCATTAACTGCTTGGGAGGGGAGGGTCTGGGACATGGTTATAACTTAAAATAGCCACAAGATGGTGCTGCTGCATGCAGAAGGACAAGGTGCTCCAGTCCTAACTCTTTCAAGCAAGTCTAAAGACTTCGGAGAAAATAAGATCTTGAAGGAGAAAAGAGTGAAAACAGGCATGTTGATTGGACTTGACCTGTCTCTCAAGTTCATGACTATAATACGTCCACTACTGCTGCTGCTACTATTGGCCACCATTTACTGAGGACTTTCTGAATGCAAGGCAACTGTGACAAGCACTTTACATACATGGTTTTGTTTAAAGTTCATAAAAGCCTTATGGGGAAGTTGAACAATGTCGCCAGTCCTCAAAGGAAGCTTTAAGTCCAAACCAGAGACTAGGACCTCTTGTACTTCCTCGAAAGAGTAGGGACAGTGATTCAATTCTGGCCATATCAACAATAGTGAATGGGGTGGCTTCTTTGCATACCAGGCTGAAGTTCCTTCTTCCATTCAGCAAATACTTAGTGCTTACTTTGTGTCAGCCCCTGATCAAGGTGCTAAGGAAAGGGAACTAGGGAAGCACAGAAGGTCCCCACTGCTAGTGCAAGGACTCTAACCACCAGTCAGGGCGATGAAGAGCTCAGGGACCAGGAGTGCCCGCAGGTGCACTGAGATGATGTCAGCGGTAATAAGAGTCAATTGTTAACTCTTGAGTTACATTGTGAGTCAGTTCTTAAACATATCCGTCATGAAAGCTAGACCACGTGGACTTACAGTTCAATTACTTGTATTTAAAACAAAGGGAATAAATAAACACTCAAAATTCGTCCCTTTCTAGTCATTTTACACTTTACCATTATGTGTAATGGTATATGTAACTTTTTCTGTAGGGGCCAAGAGAGGAAATATTTTAGGACAGATGGGCCATAAGTTTCCTGTCATAACTATACTACTCAAGCATCATATGTGCATTCAGATAGTACCTAAATGAGTGGGAGTGACTGTTCCAATAAAATGCTACTTAGAAAAATGGTGGTGGCTGGGCTAGGTCTGCAGGCAGTTGTTTGGCGCCCCTGGCCTGTGCTCGGGTATTTATATCTGTCCTATCTGTACAGTGGAAATGCTAAGTAGCTGTGTGTTGATACCACTGTGCCCCTCTTACCAGCTCTGCCTTCAGGGGTGTCATTTTGGAAGCTTCTAATTGGCAGCCACAGTGTAGTTATTTACACCATACATTAACAAAGGCTGTGATCCAGGGTATCCCCCAAGAGCTGCTTGTTACACACTTCACAGCACCCACCAGCTAATGTGCTATGAAGGCCTTCCAGAGACACTGCCATGAGCATTCAGTCTGTCCAGCTTGTCCCACCCACCATGGGCAACCTGCAGGGCAGAGTTTGGAATTCATCTAATAGAAAAGCCTAAAGTGTGTAGAGATGACCAGAAACAGTAAAACACACATCTGTTTAAAATACAAACAATCCCATAGCATAACCCCACCTTGAGCAGACTTGCTCCTCTGTAGCCAATCGGAATGCACAGCTAAGAAGCCACACATCCTGGTGCATGGCCCAGCTACATTTATTCTGCAGGCTGGTAAGACCTGTCTGCCACCAAATAGAAGCTACCAGGTTCGACCTCAGAGGTCCTTTTCAGCATCTCAGAATACGGGGGAGGGACCCAGAGAGGCATCCCTGTCCAAATTGACTTCTTTGCCAATTCTTCTGACCCTAAGGTAACCTCAAACTACTGTAGCAAAAGAAGCATTTAAAACAGATGTGGATGATAATAGCGAGAGCACACAAGGGAGGGGTGAGGATAGGTAAGACACCTAAAAAATTAGCTAGCATTTGTTGCCCTCAACGCAGAGAAACTAAAGCAGATACCTTAAAAGCAACTGAGGCCAATAGGAAAAGGGGACCAGGAACTAGAGAACAGATTAGATCAAAAAGAATTAACCTAGAAGGTAACACACACGCACAGGAAATTAATGTGAGTCAATGCCCTGTATAGCTATTCCTTATCTCAACTAGCAAAAACCCTTGTTCCTTCCTATTATTGCTTATACTCTCTCTACAACAAAATTAAAATAAGGGCAAAATAGTTTCTGCCGGGTATTGAGGGGGTTGGGGGGAGAGGGAGGGGGTGGAGTGGGTGGTAAGGGAGGGGGTGGGGGCAGGGGGGAGAAATGACCCAAGCCTTGTATGCACATATGAATAATAAAACAATAAAAAAAAACAGATGTGGATGTTATTATAGGATGATTTGATATCTGAAATTTAAGAGTGTTCATAAACTTTTTAGAAAAGTAGAAAGGTGCAGAGTAGATACCAATTGCAAATTTTAGTTGTGCTTTTGTGATGAGGGTCCACTGTGCTGAGCAAGGTACCCAGTTTCCACGGTATCCAGTTTAGTCTTGGCTCATCTGCTTCTCTAATTAGACCAGGGAAATGACTCCTATCCAATAAAACTCAGCACTGCAAAACAGTGTGCCAATGTTAGAGACCTACTCAGACCCAACTGTCCACAGTTCAGGGACAAGAAGGATAGGAAAAGCTGCCCAGGGCAGTCCCAAGAATTCCTCTACCTGCATCCCTAGAACACCTGATGGAATCTTCTTTAAAATGTTATCTAAAGCTCGTAATGCCAGAAGCCTACGCACTTTGGAATATTTCCTGAACAAAGATAAGAGCAGCCTTGAGACAGAAGGGCTGGCCCCTGGAAGTCTCCATTCTGACCTCCCTGTGACCTTAAAGAGTAGAAAGAAGGAAAAGCAGGACAGACTAGAATAAGGACAGTGAAAGGACTAGGACATGACCAGTCAGTGCGTTACAGGCACAGCCAACCAGAATGCTGCTTTCTGCACACCTAACTAGCATAGAGATTAAGCAACACCCAGGAGAAAATGGATAAAAACTTCAGACCACGTCACTTCTCTGGCAACCCACTCAGGACCCTCCCTTCCAAGGGAGCTTTCATTCTTCCCTTACTAAACTTTCCTACCTCTATGTTCACCCTTTGTCCGTTGTCCGAGAAGTTCATTCTTCAGCTTTGTGAGACAAGAACCCAGGACTCTGGCCCTCCCTTTGGCTGAACACCTAAGCCAGCAAGATTGAGTATAAGCTTTTGGTCCTACACAAAACCCTGATTTCAGTTTCATGAAACCCCTTAAAGATATCTATTCAAGCCCTCTTCACAAATAAGGAAATTTCCATCCTTCTTCCAAACCTTTTTTCCTGCCTCAACACGTCTACCACGTTTCCAAGGTCAGTAGCTCTACAACAGATTTTCTAGCTCCCCTTTGGAGCTTTCTGTATCCACAATGCTGTCTTTTACTAGAGCAGAAAGGTCCACGGGGGAAGGGGCAAGTAGATTGTTTCCCCTGACAATCGGTTCCCACGTGGCTGCACATTGGACTAGTGAAAAAGAGATTGAGCAAATACCAATTGCCAGCCTCATCTTCAGAGATTCCAGCAAGCGTGGCCAGACATCAGAATCTGGAAAGAATCCCTGCGTAGATTTGACCTGCAGTCAGATGAAGACGCACTGCTCTCAGCAGTGCTCCCACTTCATTCGGGTTGTAACAAGGGCCAGTGCACTAACTCGACCGTTCTACCTTTCCTACCTTTGCACGGTAAATGACTTACTTAACCTCTGAGGAATTCCTAAAGATTTGTTATCTACTTTGTTACCTAAAAGGAGGCGTAAAATTCAGTCCTTGTGAAGTCACTCCTCTGGCTATCACAGAGAAGCACTTAACTGTATCATTGGCAACTTCGAGGACCAGAACACAGGCAACCATAGTAAACAGCCCCGAGTCAGGCTAGGACATAGGGAAAAGGCTGTGGGATTCCTCAGACCCCATGTAACCTTGGCACATCTCATGTTAAACTCCTTATCTCAGCCCAATGCTATCTTTTGCTGTTATAAGTTGTAAGACAAAAAGCCGTGGGGCAATTCTGCTCTCCATTATCACTCAGATAAAAGTGTGGATATTGATCACACCCCATGCATATGGTGAAAGTTGTCCAGGAGACAGCTTGGGTGCATTCACAGAGTTAACTGTTGACCACCCTATCCTGACTCACCAGGACCATCCAGACACCTCCCCACTTGCCCATTATCAGTGCTCAGGAACTGCCCAGGTTTTTCCCTCCTACAGGTTAGCAGGGAATTTTTTTTTTTTTTTGGTGGTGGTACTGGGCTTTGAACTCAGGGCCTCATGCTTACTAGGCAGGTACGCTAGACACAAGCCATTCCTCCAGCCTAGTTTTGTGTTGGATTTTATTTCAAGATAGGGTCTCACAAACAATTTGTCGGGGCTGGCTTCAAACCACGATCCTCCTAATCTCTGCCTCCAGAGTAGCAAGGATTATAGGTGTGAGCCATCTGCACCTGGCTTAGCATGACTTTGAAAAACACCTTGAAACAAAAAGAGCTCTCTTTCTGCTTCAAGTTTCCACCTGGCCCACCATGGCCTTTTGTAACTCCTCTCCCTAACCTTTTCCCTGTATCCACGTTTTGCCTGGATACCTCTTCGCAGTACACAATAATTTGTAAATCTTGTGATCAGAGTTCACAGCTCCCTGACAATAACTCCAGGACATGTCTACAGTGATAGGATGAGGCACAGGGGGAACAATTCCTGTTAGAGCAGCTTATAGTCTGGTGCAAGTGAGCCTTTATTAAAATCAGAGCTGGGAATGCCAATACAGATCAAGAAATTACACAGACTCATGATGCCCTGGCCCATCTCCCAGAACCAGGGAAGTGTGATGTTTTCTAAAAACAATTGCAATGATGGCAGAGGCTGGACAAAGACACAAATGCCCAGATGCAGCATTTCCCAAAGGAATCTTCCCAGCACCACTGCAAACATGACGTTGTGGAGACCCAATGCCAGCTTTCCCATAACCCAAGATCCTTCCCACAAAGAAATCAAGAAAAAGGAACCATAAAAATTTCATTTTAATGATACAGAAATAGTATATAGTACATTTCTTTCCACAGCAGCACTTCATTCATCTCTAAAAAGTTTAACAAAATTAAGGCTAAGTCAGAGCAATCAGAGAGTAAGGGGTACTTTATGTGGTATTGTTCTTAATGTTTTCATAAATACAGGATGTTCTTCAGGCAAAAGAAAATGTTGGACCAGATACCAGAAATGGAAATACAGTACAAAATATGCTCTTTTCCATTAACCTACTAATAATCACAATGTCCCTGGGAAAATACATGGAATTTTTAAAAATGGATCTCTATGGTATGATGCTAAGACTTTCCAGAGTTAAAATTCCACAGTACAAGGCCACTTTATAATATAAAACCAAAACCAGCTGAGTCTCCAGTATAATCCTGCTAGAATAAAAAAGGAAAGTGGGCAGGATTTAAAAGCACAGGGAAATTCTACCGGGGCTGTGATGCTTGGAAGAACAATCTCTCCTAAACCGTTAGGAAAAGGAACAAAGACTTTAAAATACGGGAGACAAACCTGTCACTGCCAAGACAGAGATCAGGAAGCCCAGTGGAGCTCTTGGGTATCCAGCTACAGATGCTGCCAATTACTGCAACTAGGAAGGATTCTATTTCCTTTTCACTTTTCCACCACTCCTGGCCCCTCTGCTGGTTAACTTTCTATCACTGCTTTGACTCAAGAGAAATCCTTTAGCTGCTCCCAGATTAAGAATAAGCCTCTTCCCCAACAATAAGGAATCTGAAAAGAAAACACAAAGCAAGGCCTACTCCCACAAGTAGCCTCATTCTCTGCAGTCCTTGTCTTAGGGAAGAACAACCCCAACAGTTGCAGAAACCCCACCTTCATGTGGCCCTGCCATTTGCTGTAAGGGGCTCACCTTCTTTCCTCCTCCACCCCCTTTTGCACACTAGTTTCCACGCTAACATCCTCTTCTCCACACAACCCACCCTTGCATCAGGGAATTCAAAGATTATTTTCACTGATGGAGAACTGCACATGTTGTCAGCATCACCAACATCTAGGGAAGGTGGTCTTGCTTTTAATTACAGGCTTAAGATTCTCTACTTTAACAAGGGACATTTCACTTTACGATAACAGCGCCTGTTATCCCAGAAAAAAATCCTTCCATGTAATTTTAGGTGTTTCAATATAAAGTAAGAGATGATATAATTTTTTTCTTTAACTTTGCATGAGAATTTTGTTTTTCTCTTTTTTTGGCTTCCAGAGCCTTAATTTCCCCTACAGAAATAAAATAGAAATGTCCGGGTAAATATCAAATACCCTCAAAGACTGCTAAAACCTCTAAGAAATAGTTGTTGAGGTAAACATTCTAAAATGCATTTCTTATATAAGTTCATATGTAAACACAGATAAATATGATAAACATCCAATTATTCACATTTATGTAGGCTGACTAATACAACAGCATTATGTAAACCACTACCACATAAAGAGAAGAGACCTTTGAGATCTTCCAGTCAGTCCAGTGACTTCACACCTGGCTGGTCATTCAGGTTCACCTGGTAAACTTCTGCCTTGCAGATTTTCTAGCTTCAGCATGAAATCAGATCCAGCAGGCATGGCCTGGGACCTTGGAATTTGTACTTTTTCCCTATAATATTATATAGTCTAACTCCCTCATTAAACAGAGGGAGAAACTAAAGCCCAAGTAGTCAAAATGTTCTCTGAGCCTACAGAGCAAGCGAAAGTCCTTTCCTTGCCTGTTATACCACATTGCCTCCTAAAGGGTTCCCCAGACCTATCAATCACCCACACTTAAGCTAAGAAACCACCAACAGATGTTCTCTTGTTGTAATTAAGTGTTTAAGTTGTTTGAGAGTAGAGATGAGATCTCATTGTTGGATTAGGTGCCAATCCTGGCACCTAATAAATGTCCAATAAATCCTTGGTGGTCACTCAGGGATGGCCCAATACTGTATTTTGCACTCTAATTTCAGTCTATCATCATCGAAACAGATGCAAAAACTATCTAGGTAGATATCAACATCCAGCTGAGAAGGGTAGTAACTCCAGAATCTATGAAGATGCCATATTCAAATCACCAGAAATTTGGGTGACAAGTGCTATAAGATTAATTACTATGTCTTTCTCTTGTTCTCAAATGTCTGTATGTGATCCAAGGGATAGGAAGGATCTGACCATTTAAGTTAGCATTTGACAAATAAAAATAAAAATGCTAAACTATTCTAAGGAGAAAATCTGTAACAACTATATTAAACTGATTTTTGTTACTGTTTCTCTTGGTTTTCAATGTGTTTCCCCATCTTGGTCTTAGGAAACATTCTCTGGAGGGTGAAGTCAGACCCCTTTATAAAACTGATAGTAAAGGACTGGATACGTTTAGCCTCTATATTATAACATGATTGCTTCTTTCTCTCTCTCTCTCTCTCTCACACACACACACACACACACTCTCTCTCTTATTTGGAGGTGGAGGAAAATGACTTCTCATATTTTCTATTTGTAGCAATTAATCATAAACCATGTTATAAATAAGATGATTCTACTATATTGTCATCTTGAATGTAGATATGATAAGGATAAAGGATAATGAAAACATTTTAAAAGTCAACAGGAAAATATTAAAGAACACGTACAACTAAAAATTAAATAAACAACAGGCACATGGGCCATCCATGCCACACAGCCCAGCCCTGATTGTGCCCCCTTGACAAACCAGGCTTCACGGGAGCAAGGAACAAGAAGGTACTATCCAGAGATTACGGGACAGGATAGGGGAAGGGAAGAAGGAACAAGGCTAGGACTCAGACCTCCCTGACCACTAGCGCTGGGTCCTGGTACCCTTTCACTGTGTGCTCCCTCCCCAAGTAGTCCTGAAGTACATAAAGCTCCACTTGGAGAATATGTCCTTGGGAATCACTTATGGATGAGGCTCTGTCCACTTAAAAGAGCCTCTACCCCTGAGCTTTGCAACTGTGTATGCATCCAAAAAAGGCTTTAAGTTTTCTACCATGTGAGAAGGCAGCTTATCTCCCTCAGCTTGGATTTTATATCATTTCTGCAATACAAGAACTGCCTTCTCTCCTCTGTTAAATCTAGCCTTCCCTACATACAGATTCCTGATCATTCCTCCAGAAAAACCTCTTAAAGTCAGGCCTATAAGCTCTGTCATCCTTTTCTTCACTCAGCATATATTCATTACACAGTGACTGAACTCCAGATGGCCAGAGCTAGAAGAGAGCTCAGACCCTTCATCCCAGGCCTTCACTTGTCCCAGGGAGATAAAGGCAGGGCCAGCCCATAGCCAGGGGTCCTAACCCCATCTAGCCAAGGGATCACCACCCAGCCTACACACTGAGTAGTATAAAACCTTGTGCAAAATGTATGTACTTTTCCATTGCAAAAGCAAAAAGGTTACAAGATGAAAGAGTTTTTGTACCTAATATGGTTTATAAAACTAATACATACAAGCAAAATGAAATGATAAAACTAAAGGGTAAAAGTTCCTTCAAAAAAATAACTGCAGGGTTTGTAAAAGACTCTTTCCACCTTTTTTTTGACGTTAAATATTTTATAAAGTCATATGCTATATATATGACATCTTTTCTGTCTTTCTGAAAGGTTGAGAAGTCATCCAGAAAGGCAATACCATAAAATAACACTCAGAACATACATCCCATAGTACTGACGTAAATAACTTACGGTTCTAATCTACAACATCCACTGTAGTCTATACACACACTATGGACAGTACTTAAGAAAACACCTATTTTTGACTTAATTAGGAGGAGGGTGAAACTTCTGTTAATATTCCCACAACATCTGATTCATACCTGTCATTACCTCAAGTGAAACCAAACTTTAGTGAGTATATGGCCTGATTGGTTAAATTTAAAATCAGTCTTATTTAAAATAATAAAACTTTCATTTTAAATAAACTTATTTATTTTAAATACAAGGTTTAAAGTTCTAATACTTCTCTTCAGGGAAATGTTAATTAGTTATTCTATATGTCAAATTTATCTTCTTAGGGGCTGTATATTTGTATAAGACTATATAGTTTTACTTATCACTTTAATCCTTTCATAAAATTTACTGAGCCCTGTTTCATAAAATAATTGAGCCCCTTAAAAAAAAAAAAACCCACCCTGTTATGTGATAGGTTACTATGACTTAATAAGATTGCTGAGTACCTATCTTCCAAGAAAATTACATCAAAAATGGACATTTTATGACAGAATCACTCAATTATCTCAAAACCAGAACAAATGGAAAACAACACCATTAAAGGAATTTCAGTATTTTTTGACCACTGTTTCAGAAACACAGAAACTCAGCAAATTGTGGACATGCAGAAAATCAGCACTATATAGGGAAGAATTAACAATCAAACTCAGTACACCTTTAACAACTGAAAGTAGACTCTTAATAAAATCAAATAACTTCTTCTTCAAGGCAGCCATTGCTACAAAGGAAAAATGATTTCATATTCTTGGTCCATAAAGAAGAAATATTTATTTACATTCTCATGGACTAAAAGAGGTTTTAAACTGTCACAATTAAAATTTTATGCTTCCAAAAATATGTGATCAATGCACTTAACTTAAAGCTTCAGGTATTAATAACTTCATTTAGACTTCTTAAAAAACCAACACAAACATACTTTCTAGAGTGCAAAATGCTTCTTATTAAATACTTCTGGAACACAAAAGCAATTTGTTTTGAAACACAGGAATCCTTTGCTGAAGGGCCATCACCACATAGACGCCCATTGCCGGCAATGGACGCTGGAAAGAACAATCAGCTTGAGGAAAACGCAACACTGAAACTCTGCGTTCAGTCTCTGAACCTCTAAGGATGAGCCTAGTTACTTGTACAAGCTCATGGTTGGACTCTGGTACATGCACATATACGCATCGCAAAGCAGTCTGCGTGCACAGCCTTGGATTCTTCTGGAGTCCAAGGAATGCAGGTCCTCCGGAGACATCTTCAAGTATTCTCCCACTTCTGGGCAGGGGGTCACTTGAGGAATGTTGAAGCCATTCTGACCACCTACAGAGGAGAGAGAGCTCTTTTTAGGGAAGTGAAGTTCTAAATCCCCACCACTAGGATTCTAAGATCCTAGAATTTAATGAAGGATGATTCTCAGGGTCTAAAACACTTTGTTTTACTTGTGGGCTCTAGAAGCTAAAGCCTCCTTAAATTTGTGACTGATTTCTTTTTTAATTTACTTTTTTTTTTTTTGGTGGTGGTGGTGGTTTGAACTCAAGGCCTCACACTTGTCAGGCACACGCTCTACCAGTTGAGCCAATCTGCCAGTCATGTGACTGCTTTCTTATTTCTTGGTTTCTGAAAGGATTCTGGGGCCAACAGTGAATAAAATAAGTAAAAGGACACTTGTTTTGGAAAAGCCTCAAGCCTACTTCCCAGGTTTCTATCTTCAATCAGGGAATAATATTATCTATACATATGCAATATGTTTAAGTTCCTCACAATTCTGTATCAGAAGCAAACACCCCCACCCCATCCACTTCACCATGAGATTGCTCAATTTTAAGCAGACCTAGTAACATAATATATTGGTACACCTCTAGCAAAGTTTGTTTTATGTATCATCAGACTATGTATGAAGATGCTCTGATACTCTGCTTCTAGGCAAAGCCCTCTGGTTTAGCTCTCTCAATGGCCTTTCCAAATGTCTGAAATCCCTATGCTTCTGAGTCATGCTGTTAGTATAAACACTAGCTGGGTAGTGGCACATTTATATATAGGACTGTACTCCTTGGTTATCTGAGACCTTAGAAGAGGCTGAGAACTGTAAGTCTAGAGTTTAGGCCTCTAATCAAGAGATTGCTGCTTAGGGGGTGTTTGAAGTTATTAGATGGCCACACCAAGAGACCTTGGGGACTGGGGTTTGAGAAAGTAGTTAAAAAGGGGGTGTAAGAAAAAGAATGGGGAAACATGGAAGTCATAATTTCCAACCTTGCCTGTGGTTGGCCTTCTGAAAACTCCAGATGGGTAGTGGGAACTATTGTGAAGCCTTCCCGGGCCTCTGGCACTCAAGTATGTATTTAAAAAATGACTAAGCACCCTAGAAAATGGCCTAGAAGGTGCAGTTCATCCACAGTTCAGGAAGAAACACATTAAATGCAGAACAGGTTACTTTGCCAAGGAGGATACTGCTTCTGCTCTCATATTTTGTCATTTGAAAGACAACATAGGTTAGTATAAAAGTACAATTATGAGATCAGAAAAACTGAATTAAATGCTAGCCATGTTACTTTAACCACCTTAATTCTCAGCTTAAATAACAGAAATATAAGAAGAATCATTCCCATCTTGCAAAGACTTCAATAGAATAATCAACGCACTCCCAGAGAGCTTGCCATGTATGTGCTCCATATAGCTACCGGTGATTATATAATAATGAAGGGAAGTAGAAGGTAAAATCTCCCACCCTCAAATAAAAAAATTTAAGAGTCTTTATTTTTAACAAAGAACATGTATACATGTCAGGATATCACAACAATGTTATTCCTTAGTTTAGGTATCAGAGTTGGTAATGTATTTCAAGATTTAAGTCTGTGTCACCAAGATATTACTGAAAGAATTTTTCTCACAAAATATCTTATTACTCAGAACAGGATATCCCACTGTGTTTAGCCCACCCAAACTAAAAGGTTGCCACATATGGAAGATTTTAAATACCATCCCGATCAGCCATGCTGTCAAAGAAGAGCCAAGCAGAGTCATCCTTTCCATACTTCACAAAAGCAACATAGTGGCTTGTTTCAATGCAGAGAACAGCAAATAACTCCATCTTCTGGCAAGGGATGCAGCTATGTCTCCAGTCCCAGTCAGGTAAATCTTTGGGAAGTGACACTGGGTTATATTTATGATTCAACCTCTTGGGATGAAGATGGACCTAAAATGGACCACAAAGAGAATGCCATGAATGAGCTAAATGCAGTGTTTCAAGTGGACGGACTTTACCTAGTCTTACTGACAGCATCCCTTATAAATAGAAAGTAAGTACTTCACATACGTCTAGCAAGTTAAGCACCCATAATGGCATTTATGCTTATAAATTATGCCATTATATTATAGATTTTTTGAAGTTAATTATGATTTTAAAACACTTTTCAAAACTTGAAATCTGTTTTCAGACACATTCATTAAGTGAAGGCAGACTCACTTGAGCATTGCAGGTTTTACAGAACTGCTTGATCTTTCCAGCTGAGATGTCTGGATCATCATAGCATTCTCTACACTCGTACATTGCAAGCCCTCCACAGATTCGGCACTGCCTGGGAGCTGCAGTGGAGGGAGGGGAGGACAGTAAGGGGCCTTTAAGAAATGCATTCTTTCATTAACAAGAAAAGTTATACTTGAAAAAGGATAATATTCAGGGCTTCAAAAATGTCTAATCCTTTCCCATCCTCTTTATTGCATTTTCTTAGATTTGGAATATCTTTAAAGACATTTTCTTTAACCAAATAACTTTTTGATAATATATTCTAGGGTGTTTCCCCTTTGATTATAAAATGTCCATTGATGAAAAGTCAAAAACACAAAAAAGTAAAAAAAAAAAAATTACAGAATGTACCATTTTAGTTAGCAAGAAATAGCCCTTGTCAATATTATGACTTTTCTCTAATAATTCTCAATCTGAATTATATGTGTGTTACATATGCTATAGACACACCTGTATTAAGCTCCTCTTGCAGAATCCATTAATGTCCTTACCTTTTTAATGTTGCCACATGACTATTTTCATACAAATTAGCTTCAAAAACATGAATTTTAATGACATTAGTTTCTTTATATGGATATATAATTTATTTAACCACTCCCCTCTTAACATTTAGATTGTGTCTGATGTCTTACTCAAATGATAAACAGCAAATATGCATATAAAATATTTATTTTCATCTCTAATTTTTTTTCAGAAAAAGTTCCCAGAACTAAAAAGCCTGGCTTGACATGTCCAAGTTCATCAGATACGGAAGTGCTAATTAGAAGTATTATATCCACAAATAATGAGAAAGACCAGACAATTTCTAAAGAACAAAAAAGCAAACTAAAAAGTCTTATACTTACTGTCCTCAAGTAAATCTGTTATATTTAATTCCAGGGAAGGAAAAATTTTTTTGAATAATTTAAAGTCTTTTCCAAATCGAGGCATCTGAATAATCAAACATGATGGTGCCTAGAAAAAAAGATACAGATTTTTAGAAATCAACATCAAAAGATGTTTCCCTATGAAACTGAAAATAGTCATGGCTGTCAAACCAAATGGTGATTTTCACATAATGCTGGTGCCCTGTAAAACAGGATGCACACATAATTGTGGAGTGTGAACACAGAAGAGCAACAAGCCACAAATCTGAGTCATCTCTGGTCACATGACACACAAATACCAAGAGGTTAGGGAGTCCAACAATCCTGGGTCTCAAACAACGGGATTATTATCTACAGTGTCATTTTACTGTGGGTTTATGTTTAAGGAAGGTTTTAGAAAAGTGTTTGCAAATACAATATAGAAACCATCATCATAGAGGATTCCTTGTAGAACAACAAGTATACAATAGTAAACAATTATGACTGTTGAAGTTTTGGCAAAACATTCCTTTATTAATGAACTACAAAATCATAAAGATACTTGATAGAAGAAGAAAATTAATCTGTATCACTTGTTCATTAACAAACTAATATAGATGAATTTATTGACATTTTGTCTCTTAATGAAAGGAGAAAAGTAAACATTCTCTTTTAGTATATTGGGATAATATGATAGGGTAAAATGACAATTTTTTTTTTTCATTTTTCTTTTATTATTCATATGTGCATACAAGGCTTGGTTTATTTCTCCCCCCCTGCCCCCACCCCCTCCCTTACCACCCACTCCACCCCCTCCCGCTCCCCCCCTCAATACCCAGCAGAAACTATTTTGCCCTTATCTCTAATTTTGTTGTAGAGAGAGTATAAGCAATAATAGGAAGGAACAAGGGGTTTTGCTGGTTGAGATAAGGATAGCTATACAGGGCATTGACTCACATTGATTTCCTGTGCGTGGGTGTTACCTTCTAGGTTAATTCTTTTTAATCTAATCTTTTCTCTAGTTCCTGGTCCCCTTTTCCTATTGGCCTCAGTTGCTTTAAGGTATCTGCTTTAGTTTCTCTGCATTAAGGGCAACAAATGCTAGCTAGTTTTTTAGGTGTCTTACCTATCCTCAATTTTTAAAACAACATAAATCTTTTTGTGTTTAACTATTATAAAAGTTTCCAAGTTACAAATTAGCTTGGTGTTTTCTTTGGCACCTCAAATCTAAAAAAATCTATCTTAAATATAAGGCATTTTCTATAAGGAGGACAAAGTTGAAACACTGTACATTTATTAAAATTTGTTTTCTTTCTTTTTTTCTTTTTTTGGTGGGACTGGGGTTTGAACTCAGGGTTTTATGCTTGCAAAGCAGGCGCTCTACCACTTGAGTCACAGCTCCAGTCCATTTGCTCTGGTTATTTTGGAGATGGGGTCTCACCAACTATTTGCCCAGACTGGCCTCAAACCTCAATCCTGCTGATCTCAGCCTCTCAAGAACTACAGGCATGAGCCACCAGCATCAGACCAATTCATTTTCTTAACAGTGTGTTTTTCAAGCTGTTCTTTGTTAAAGCCAATAGTCACTGAATCTACTAATACTCTTAAGAATCCTCCAGACTTTCACATAAAACTCAGTGGGGGGGCTGGGATATGGCTCTGTGGTGGAGTACTTGCCTAGTATGTTAGAAAAGGCTCTATTTTGATTCTAGCAATGCAAAACAAGCAAACAAAAAGAGTACCACTGACCTCTGCAAATTTCAGATTACTATTGATAAAAGACCATTCTAATAACTGCTGGATTGTAGGAACTCCAACTTTCTCGTTTTTTTCCATAAAAATTTGATAGAAGTAACAATCTTGTACTTTTTGACCTGCTGATCTAAGAGCACACAGAAAGAAACACATGTAACTTATCTATTAAATGCTTATATCAGAATGAGAAGTTGTTCCAGAATGATTTGAGAACAGAAAAACCATGAAATTGATGTGCAGCTTTGAAAAGTCCACACAAAGTGGGGTATGGGGAGCAATGATTCAAATAAAATAATTAAATGAATTTATGCAGAATACCTTATAAATGATTTATTTTACCTTTCATATTGAAAAGTTCTCTTGGTGATCAGGAGAAAAACCATAGAATAATATCCATAGTCAAGAAGCACTTTGTGAACAATAATCAGAAGCTAAAATCAATTAGTTCAACTTCATCATCTAAATCAACAAAGCAGCAAACTGCATTTAATGCCAGAACCAGGAAAACAATTCCTGGTATACACCTAAATGAGACAGACTTTTAGAAAACCTCTAGACCAGTTTTTGTTGTTGTTGTTGTTGTTGTTTTGCTTTTATTATTATTTTTTTTTTAATGAAGACCTTGAGAGCTAAGGAAAAGATATTTCCCAGCAAGTCAAAAGAAGAATGCAGTCTGGAACCCAGGGGTCCTTTAGGCTGCTGTCTATTTTTTTCTGCTAGAACATGCGACCTCTTTAGAAAGTCACTCAGTGAATTAACAAAACCAAGCAAGTGCCTACTAGATGCCAATCACGGGAAGCCCTCATATTGAATATTTTCCTCTCCCTTACAGAAGAATGCCATTAATCTTTAAGGCTAACTCCATCAAAAAGTTAACTAATCTTTAAGTTTACTATTTACCTTTTTAGCAGAATTTTCGGGTTTAGAGTCAAACTGCTTATATCTAGATACGTATCTAATTTAGGAAAAAATATTAATATAGTTTTCATAATAATGACTCAGCAATTCAGAGATCAACCTGTAGAAATCTTCAGTAAGGAAACCTATAACCTAAATAAACAGAACTTATTTGGTAACAAAGCAGAAGATTCTTGAGAATTCACAAAAAAAATAAGAATAAATGATAATCTAAGTATCTGGTAATTGTGCTAGATCAATATTTTAATTGGTTGTTGATGACTACAACAGGCCAGGATTTTTCTGGGAAAACAAAAACGCATCAAAAAATTAATAGGTAAAAAATAATACAAGAATCTGAGAAAGCATAAAGTAGTGGAAGGAGGGCTGGCAGAGTGGCTCAAGTGGGAGAGCACCTGCCTAGCAAGTGTGAAACCCTGAGTACAAACCCCAAAAAGTAGTAGCAGAAGTAACAATGACAGCCATGGAGAAGGCATGGTGGTTGATGTGGGAGGGAAACACAGAAAAAGGGCCAGAAATAAGAGAGGTAGAAAATACAGTTTTGTGATACTGGAGCAGAATGGAAGGAGGGAATAACACTACTCCAAACTTGCTTCTAAACTTTTTGAAGGCTTAAACTCTACAGAATCACAATGAAGTGACATGATTGTACCAAACTGTGCAATTTAGATTTTATTCTCCTAAGGAAAATTCGAGGCCAGGATATAAATGTGGTAACTTTTAAAGAAAATGGACATCTACAGAGAAGATAAAAAGACCCATGGAATTTGTATAATTTTGGTCTGTCTATCTTTGTGACATAGACCATAAAGAGTGGCCACTGAAGTTCTTCACCCATCTGGGGTACCCAGCAGGAATGACTATAATTCAGATATGATACAGCCCTGTAAGAAATGCTCCTATCATGTTCCGTAATGAGAGGTACTTAGCTACACAGTCTGAAAACTCCCCTACATCTTTGCTTCTTGATTATTGATGTTATTCCACTTTTTTTTTGGCTGCTTTCAATCACCACCCTCTTAAGTGCCTATGACTTTAGTTTCAGTTTATCTTTAATGCTATACACACAATCACTGTTATTACCATCACTGCTGTTGTTTTTTAAATGTTAAGGTTTAATTTACTCAAATTTACCAATTTCTTGACCCTTCCTTGTTTCTTGCATCCTACCCCTTTATTCTAAATTCAGTTTGTCTTACTAAAGTACACCTTGTAATAAGTCTCCAAATGGTTAATTTAGTCCTGGTTCATAAAGAATTCTTAATCTTTATTCTTAGAATTTTTAAAGAATTCTCAAAGAATTTTTATTCTTAGAATTTTACTGCCAAAAATTCTGAAAAATCACATGGAACACTGCTTCTTTTCTATTCTCTTTAGCATCTCCTTAAGGAACTCTGATTACAATCTATCTTCCAAGATAGATCCATTCTTTTCTTGTTTTCCAACTCTACACCAAGGCAAATTCTACACTCAAGGCAACTCTACACTCAGGGCAAATTCTCAGCTGTTTTCAATAGGTCTGTCTTCCAGTGGGCAATCCTCTCTCCAGCTGTGTACTCATCTCCAGTGAGGCTCTCTATCCACCAGGACAGAACTATTTCTGGAAATTCTATTTTGCCTGCTTATTTGATCAAATCTTCTTTTATCTTTCAATGGTATTTAGTCCTTCTTTTGTCTCTTCAATTATTTAAAAATATCACTCCTTTTGTACTGTTTTATTACTTCTGACTTGTAAGGTACTCATCCTACTATTGGCTTTGTCAGCTGACTCTCCCTCAGTCACAGAGAAATGCAAGTGCAGTGGAAAAAATGACACTCGAGAGAAACAGACTAACTTAAAATACTTTTCTACAGTTTTTAGATAATAATGTTTAAAATATGAAGAGGTTGCTTGGGGGGAAAAGGGGACAGTGCACCTCTCCAGGGTGTAAGAACTCTCCAGGGTCCTTCACACAAGGTCTTCAGACTCTGACCAGTGCTTATATCCCCTCTGAGAATTACTGCAGTTTTCAACTTATGTTAACACTGAAGGTATGACATCCTTTATGTGTACTATGCTAAGAAAGATAAAAATTTTAAGGATAAAAATGACTATTTTAAGTATTCATCTTTAGAAGATGAAAAGCAACTACCAGATGTCCTACTTCGTGTGATTGATTAATTGATTGATAGATACAGATGCATCTCTCCCATTTGTTTGAAGGCTGACTTCTAAAATGAAGTACTACTGAACTTTCTATTCAATTCTATTTATCAATACTTCTTTTTATATCACTATTACACACTATTTTAATATCTATTGTTTTTCCTTTATAACTTATAATGGACCTCATTTTTAGATAAAAGAACTCAATATTTTCACCCACTTCATTTTCTACAGAATATTAGAATTACTTTCTTGAGTTCCAAAAAAATAAAATAGGTTCAGATCCTACTTATGTGCAAATTATTTTGTAAAATCTTAGCATCTTTAAATTTTTAAATCTTCCTACCTCAAACACATTCTTTCTCACTAATTAATTAAATCACCTTTCAGCTGTGTTAGTCTCTTAAAAAAATCTATCTCAATAAAATTCATTGGTATTTTACTTTAATGAAGTATAAAATTATTCCTTTTTCCTATCAGCATAAAGGTATATACAGAAACACTATGAGTTTCCCACCCCCCCCCAAGGTTATTTTCTTACATAGCTGAATTATAAATTCTTTTGTGAATTTTAGTAGTTTCCAGGCAATTCTCTAGGATTACCTAGGTATATATATAGCTATTACTGTCTTTGACCAGATAATACGTCTACCTGATGTTTATGCATCATGTTTTATTTCATTTGTTAGAACTTCACCAATACTATCAAACTATAATTATGGCACTTTCATACTTCCTTCCTTCTTTCTCAACCATCAGTTCAACCCTGGTCTCAAACAACATCACTTAGACACTGAGGCAAGTAAGAGAACTTGTCAACAAGCAGTAGTATGTTACCAAGATCTTCAGTAGAGAAAGTCAGGCTAAAATGAAAAAAAGTCTACCATGTAGACTGCAAACACTCTAATCACTAAGAACTGTACTGCATTACATTCAAGGTTTCCCAACATGGGAAAACCAAGTTACTAAACTGAGAACAAGAGAATGAATTTAAAACTAACTTAATTCTTTAAGTGATAAGTAGTCAAAACCAATGTTTTCACAGAGTTTGAGTAGATTAAAATGAGATTATCTTAAAAGGCTGATTGATTGAAATTACAAAAATAGTCACATACAGTTTGATAAGAAAATGAACTGCAATAATTAAAACACTTAAAAAGTAAGTTTAAATTGGATTTGTTCTTCAAGCTAAGTACGGCATTATAGAGAAGACAATGATCAACCTTAATTTGTATTTATGCTTACCTAGCATAATTAAGAGCCCTAAACAAATACGATATGAAATAACCAGTAAGGAAATCATTCTGCTGAAAGATGACAGTGGAAATGAGGATGGTCTATTCTTCCAATGCTTCTATAACAATTGAGAGTTACCTTATTTTTAACAATGGTTCTACCCTTAAAATATGATGAAACAGGATATTTAAGAATTCTTCAGGATCTAGGAGAAAATTTAAAAAAATCAAATGTCACAGGAAAAATTTTTAAATCATCGTATTCTTTATTTATAAATCATATTTCTATCCTGAATTCAATTTCATGCATTCAATATTATTTCAATTAAAAGCATAGTTTTCAAGTTTTATTGACAAAAAATAATAAAGAATATTTAAAGGTTATGATAAAATATTATATTTCAATTTTGATATAACTTTATTGAAAGGGTATAATCATTCACATATAGTAAAATAACTTGGTGGGTGAGGTTAAGATTAAGTAGAATAAAACCTTAAATATGTCCCACTTTTACCTGCTGTTTAATTATCAAGCCTCTAAACATTATAAATAATTATCAAGCCTCTAAATATTATAAATAATTATCAAGTCTCTAAACATTATAGTTGGTTACTCCTAAAAAGTTCAAAGTTAGGAGCTGAATCTTTTAGTGATTCCCTTTAGCTGTGAATAGATTAAAACACTGACCATAACTTAATCCTAGTTAGCCATTTTGTAACTCCCTTTCACAACAAGGACAATTAAGTGGGAAAACATGGATAGCTCAATGTACCCTTTATTTTACCAGAGAATGAGAAATAACTCAGAACACTACGGCTGGATAGAAAAAGAAAGATCCTTATACTTATTTATCTAATATAGTAGAACCAGACCTTACGGGGTTCTTATTCCACATTATCATTTATTTTTAGAAGAGAGGAAGAATTTATAAAATGAAGTACAAATTTTATATAATGTAATTTTTTTTACAGTGCTATGCTAAGGGCCTCTTGCATGCTGGGCAAGCATTCTACCACTGAGCAGAATCTCCAGCACTTTCAAAATGTTTAATTTAAAATTGAATCCCAAAACTATGCAGACACAAATATTTAGCACATTGCTAAATAATTTGCTTTCAAGTTATTTTCAATGCAATATACTATAAAATAGTCACCTTTTTCTTCAGAAGTAAATCCTGATGCAGCCTCAACTTTTTCAAGAATTTTCCTCAGTTTCATAATTTTTGTGGCACACACATATCCATATCTATGTTAGTAAAAAACTTAATTAACTGGCACTTGCATATATGGTAAATTATACAACATATCTTAATAACCACACATTTCTTATACAACTCTAATATGACATAAATCAATAGGCTAGGCAATTATTTTGAAGAGTGTAATTATAGGCTTCTTATTGAAGTCTGAAAAATTAAACATCTAGGACAAGAATTACCCCAGAAACTATTATTTACTTTTAAAATGACTATCATATATTATAAAAATATAGTAATAGTATAGCAATTTAAAATATTTTTAAAATTTGTGATGAGTGATTTTTAAAGTAATATTTACTTAGGAAATTAAAGCATTTACTTTATAAAATAGGATATACGATTTTAAGAGAGAAAGTACTTTTAATACTAAAGGATGAAATACCTGCCAAGGGAAATGGGAAAGGAAATTGATGAGATATTAAGAACCTAAAATTTGCAATCAAACCAGTCAGCATAATTATACCATTTTCTCTTATTTTGTTTGAATACATGGTACATTCAATAAGCTTAATGTCAATCCTTCGCAAAACTCTCATTCTAAAAATGGCTTCAGAATAGAACAGGCCATCATGAGTTTAACAAAGCCAAGTCAAAACCAGCTCATCTTAAATTTACTTTTTTACACTGACTCTTCACTCATCATTTAGCTTTCTACAACCAACACTGAGCATCTACCACTTACGTAGTAATATAAGCCAGAGGATTAGATTATCAAAGGAATAGAGTAAAAAAAGAAGACAGGGTCTCTGCCCTTGAGAAGCTTACAATGGGGGAAAACAGGGTTTCAGTACCAAATAAAATCTATCAGCTAAAACAGGGATTTTTGTTTTGTTTTTTGAGATGGGGTCTTGCTTTGTAGACCAAACTGGTCTCTCAAGTGATTCTCCCAGCTTAACCACCTGAGTGCTAGGGTTACAGGCATGCACTGCCATGCCTGGCTAGACACAGAGGATCTCAAAGACCATTTGGCAAGTTTATTATTATGGACAGGGTGACAAAGTATGATTAACTATGATTCTTAATTGGTTGGACAACAGTATCCAAAGAGTGTTGCTAATGAGCTTATGTTTTTTTGGAAAGAAGGAAGTGATAACATGCCCTAAGAGTTTTAGATTTGTTATAGTAGAGAAAATAATTTGTTTTTAAAAGTTTGCATAAGACAAAATAATTAATGTGAAAATTAGAAACTCATAATTATCTTAAAGAGTAAGATAATTAGAGAATTTAAGGAAAACAAAGGAGCAATTGTAACTCTTTTAATTTACTTTCCTAATCATGTGATACCATAGATCAGTCAGATGATTATATTTCAGTATTCTGCTTTTATTTGGTCAAAATCCTATATCAAACTATTTTTTTTGTTTTAATTGCTAAATAAGAAAACTATATCACAAAATTTAAATTTATCTCTATATGGACTTTAAATTCTCTGTGTTCCTGAATGAATAAATTTGTTTTATGATTCATGGCCTCAATTCTTCACCACTTAAATTTTATAAAATGACTTTATCACATATCGCTACCACCATTTATCAAGTATTTATTTACTATACAGTCTTCTGTCATCTGTGTGTGTAACATTACAAAGTGCTTCCTGTGGCCAAAAAAGACATCTTGATAATTCTTAAATTAGGAAATGTAGAATCACCTTGGTAAAGGAGGTGAAGAGAGGCCTAAATATATTTCTTTTTACAAAAGAAATTACAAAAATACATCTCATCTGTTTCTAGTACATAAGTATTAAATACTAGTTATTCTGTAAGTCTGAAACTTCTCTTGCTCCTTTTCTTTCAGGTAAAATTAAGCTTCAGAAGTCAGACTACACCAACAAGCATTACTATTAGGAGTGGTATTAGAACAAACTATTTCAAAAGATCAGTAGCCCCAGCAAAATATATCAGCTTTCTATTGCCATTGCTAACTTGTAGTATAACTCTACCAAAACTGTTTAAGTCATTTCACGGATTAATGTTCTATGTGCTATACATTGGCCAGGCTTAACAAATTAAGTAAGAAACAGAAGTACAAGAACAGAGCTTTTTTAAAAAAAAAAAAATCAGTATTTCTCCATGAGAACTAATTTCCTTCCTTTTTTTTTTTTTTTTATTACACGAACACAGGGCACAAATCAACTACTGCACTAAAAACAGCAAACAGGACTCCATTTAAAGGTGAAATATTTATCTTCTACTTACATTCTCAGAGGATTAACAATTTCAGTCCTCAATAGCTCTTGAGTTTCACTATAATATTCTACATCATTCTTTTCTTTGGGTCTAAGTAACACAGTGTCCAGAACAGAACTAAAAGCAAATAAACTGCAAAATAAAAAGAATATTTTTCTTCATGTTATAAATATATTTTTTAAGAAACAGATTCTAAAAATCAGAAGAGTAAAAGAAGCAAAGTCTAGGAAACAAAGAACATAAAAATTCATGTTTTTCATGAACATAGGTCAATCATCATGGCTGAGCAATCTTTCCAGGTTTAGGAGATCATAATACCAAGAAGGCAAACTGCATTGACAGTGTTAAAGGATAACTATATGCCCAGAATATATCATGAAAAAAAGTTCTTTGTAAAAGGTGAAAATCTGAGTCACACAAAATAGATAAACAGACAAAACAGGAGGAAGTTTGGAAACTATTTCTCCAGTCAAACACAACTCAGCATCAAATTTCTCACTCCTCTTTTTGCCACCTTGCAAAGACCTTAATTTCTTTAAAATCACTTGTGAATGAATAGCAACAGAAGCTTTCTGGGATCAAAGAAAACAAAATTTGGCTAATATACATTTTTATCAGAATATCTAAAGAATATTATAATAATGCTGTGAGGCTTGTTTTTAATCAACACAAAAGAATTTTGTCAGCAAAATGATCCACCACCTTTATTCCTTTCTCTTCTTTTAAAATTCTAGCACCTCATGTTAATTTCCTAACTCCTATGCCATAGCTGTACAGCATTGGCAGGTTACACTCAATTTATGTGGCAGTACACAGCACCTAAATATTCTTGGTTCAATCTTCACAGCCTAATGCTTCTTGCCATGTTAAGTTGTTCTACTTTGGCAAAAACTATGTATTTGAGGAAAATAGTGCTATTGAAAATGATTTTTTAAATAATTGTTTTATGATCACTTCTACAAAAACAAACACAGCACACACACGGCCAATGACTTATTCCAAGTCACGTTATTTGACATGTGCCCCAAGATACCATACTTATTCACTTCACATACCCTCAGTATATCTGTTCCACATGAATCACATTATTCACTGCATTATTTTTTACATTAATTTTTTTTTTTTTGCAGTGCTAGGGTTTAAACTCAGGGCCTACACTTTGAGCCACTCTGTCAGCCCATTTTTGAAATGGGATTTTTTGAGATACGGTCCATACATTAATTTTTGAGTTAGGAATAAGAGACTAGCATCTCTTATATGGCATCCAAGGAGAATATTAGAGAATGTAAGTCTCCCTTTCTTTCCTGACCCCCAGTCACCCAGTCTTTCTACACACAAGCAGTCAGCAGTTTCTTTTATATCATACATACATATCCCTGTCCCCATGTCACTAGCTATACCTACTGCATTAATTTTGAACTCACCAGAATAAGGTGGAGTCTAAGTAACAAGAATTGTAATGACCTTGGATACCTTTCTTCTTTCCAATCATTATCTCTAAACCTTCTTTTTCCATTTTTGGTGCAGTATTTTCTTCTACCACTTCACTTAAGTAACCTCCAAATGCTGAAAAGATAAAAAGTGAAAATGAAAATAATTCTTTCATACTATTACGGTATATACTCCTGTGTGTGTGTACATACATATGTATAATATTATATGTGTGTGTGTGTGTGTGTGTGTGTGTATGCCTTCACTTTAAACTGCATTTTGATGCAAAATTTGTTTCTCAACCTTTGATTATTTGCTATTCAACTTGACTTGTAAAAACTGCTATTGTTCAACCCTACTTCCTCTACAATTTAAAAAACACTTTAGAGTATTATGCTATTTGTAAAAAAAAAAAATCTGTCAAATAAAATATTTTGTTATCTACCCAAAATGCTTTAAGTCTGAAAAGAAAACAAAAAGTTTCAAAGTATTCTTTCAATGTTATAAGAAAGTTTTTTATAAAGATGGTTTTTCGATTTATACCAGTCTAACCCTCAAGATGCTTTACCACTATTATCCAAAACTGAGAAGGAACAACATCAGGAAACTTCCACCCGTCACAGGTGATGAGAAGACTTGTCCTCCATCCATCAAGCTAAAACTGCTCAAATGGAAGCCAATTTCTGATAAGCCATGCTAACTGGTATACTTAAACTGCCACTGAGGGGGAAGTCAATGCAGAAAGAAAGTCTCATTTCAATTTCTACCTCCTGTATTGCTGAAAATTAAATGTCTTAACAGAAAGAGACAAATAAATCCCAAATTCTCTTCCTAACTAGTACTTTATAAAAGAAATGTCTCCTCCAAGCATAACTAATTTTCTTATACACCAAGTAACAATCTTTATTGGCTTAAAAACTTGATGAACATTCACAAGACTATCATTTAAATACTGTCACCATCACATAATGCAAAACAGAATGAAATGGAGTCATTCCAGCTTGGAAAATAAATGAAAAGCATCCAAGTACCTAAAGAGTTACAGCGTTCAATCTGATTGGAAACAGGCTGCAGGGATGCAAACCTAGAGTCAGGCCTGCAGCTTTTCAGTTTCACAAACAGCGCCTTCTTCAGGGCACAGGTGAAATATCGAGTGCCCCTGAAGGTTCCATCAGTACAGCCTGCGCATTCGTCCTCCTGAAAAAGAAAGGCTTCCACATTTGTTACATCGCACCTTACAAAGAGCCCACTTAAAGAACTGAGATTTCTCAGATGCGTTCCTAGCTTATCCTTTCTCCAGATTCCCTCTTATATCTGTATCATCAACTATATATTATTAGCTCTGAGCTAATGATTTAAGAAATTAATTCCTACCAGGCACCGGTAATCCTAGCTACTCAGGAGGCAGAGATCAGGAGGATCATGGTTTGAGGCCAGCCCAGGCAACAAAGGAAGACCTGATCTCGAAAATACCCAGCACAAAAAATACCCAGCTGGTGGAGTGGCTCAAGCGGTAGAGTGCCTGCTTTGAATTCAGACCCCCATTCTACCAAAAAAAAAAAAGGGGGGGTGGAGGGCAAAGAGAGGAGAGGAGAGGGTAGGGAAACTCCTAAAGAAAGAAATTCCTTGGTCCAGAAGGAAATCCTCAATGTATTTCCATTCAGAACATGTATTAGACCTTCCCTGGTCAACTGGCTTTCCTGCACCTTTTGCACAAGTATTAAAACCAAGGGACAGGAAAAGGCTAATTATATTAACTATCTCCTTGCTAGTATCTTCTAGTATGGAAACAAACAAGCAAAGATAAACCAAAAAGAAAGAAAGAGAAAGCCCCAAGAAATATATTTAAATAAAAGCTGAATGTATTCAAAGTCCTCTTTCCTGATTACAAAATGTCAAACAATATGTTTTCCTGATCTCTATAGGGAAATAGATCTGTCTATCAAAGGCCTCAAAAACTCTCTAAAAATGGTGATTATTTTTAAAAACAATGAATTGACTGACTATGGAAAGGAAGCTGAGGAACAAAAAGAAAAACAGTTAACAGATTTGCTTTCCTTACTGCATTCTCTTGAATATAAGGACCTAAACATTCTAGCCTAAGATCAATTTTATTCCTTAAACATAGATCAACTTTTAGAAACAAGTAAGTCAGAAGCCTAGGAGTGTGAAAGGGAAGACAGGCAGCATCATAATAAATTTTTTCTCTAGTTAGGGCTTTTTTTTTTTTTGACAAATATAGTGGTTTCCCAAAACATATACAATAGAGGAAAATCTGTGCAAAACAGAAAAGAATTGCATTTTTTAGATCAAATTAAATTACCAGTTCCAGTCCAGCTAGCACATCATTAAGTCCCGGTGGCTGACCAATCCAACGGATCACCCCGTAGAAAGGAGGGTTCTCTTTCACTTCAGCCAGTGAGCCCACTTCTAGGCCATGTGTGTTACCAGAAGAGCTGGGCACAGACGGGCTCTCTTGGATAGGTGCACTGCTCAGCTCTCCCATCACCGACTGAACAGACAGAGAAAGTGGGCTGTGGCCAATACTGCCATTGGTGTTGGGCATCTTCGTCAGACTGAAGGGTAAAGAGTGAAATCTGTTCTCATTGGATAAGGAGTTCATGGAAGGTGGCTGCAGTGGTGGTGAAGAATGTCCAAAGTCGGCAGAGAGTTCTGTAAGTGACTTTGCAGGGTCTTCTGCAACTGTAAAAAAAAAAAACTTCTTAATTAAAGAAAGCTATTCAAGAACATTAAATACACCTAACATTTCTAAAAATTGATAAATCTTGTCTAACTCCCCTCTCTATGAGAATTCTTACAGACACTGCAAACTTTTATCTTCAAAACAGTGATCTTAGTTCTCTTCCTCACCTCCAAGAATTTCTAGCTTAGTAAATGGCAGCCAATTGTTTAAGCCAAAAAATCTACTAGTGATTGGTTGTCATATAGGTTATATTATTTGTCCATAGTGCAATTAAGTTAGATATAAGTACAAAAAGACACCAAAAAGTTAAGAAACAATTCTAAATAACTACTGGATCAAAAAAGAGAAGAGATATTTTTATTTTTAAAAATAAAGAAAGAAAAAATAAAATGAAAGAAAAACCACTTGTGGAACACAAAGTAATATTTATAAAGGAAATATATAGACAATTTATGTTAGAAAAACAAAAAGCTAGATATTAATAAACTCAGCATACAACTTAGGATGTTAGAAGAACAGAATAACTCCCCCTGAAACTAGGCAAGAATAAACAAAACAACAAACATACAATAAGGAAGCTCAAAGTTAGAGTTAAAATAGACACACAAAAAAAACTACTCAAGAGAAAACAAGCATACAGTGAAGACAATCATACTAAAAGCTGTTTCCTTAAAATGACTAATGCAACTGACAAGCAGCACTGCATTTCAATGGGGAAAAATGAACTTCTTAACAAACAGTGTTGAGATAATCATTTAACCATATGCTTAAAAAATTAAACTGGAATCCTACTTATACTCTAACACAAACCAGTTCAAAATGACACAAAAGCAAATGTGACAGGGAAAAACTATAAACTTTTGGGAAACGATATAGGATAATGTTCATCATGACTTCAGGGTAAAGAGAAATTTCTTAGATATAAGTATATAAACCATAAAGAAAAAAATTGATAAACATAACAATGAAATTAGTAACTTTTTGTTCATTAAAAGGCACCATAGTGACAGTAGAAATTTGAGCCACAACAAGGAGAAAATAATTGCAATGTATATAGTTGACAAAAGATTAGAACTTGGGAAAAGTCCATTTACTAACAAGACAACTAAAAAAATAATAATAAAATAAAGACTTGAAAAGGTAATTCACAGAACCCCAAATAACCAAAAAGTCGAGGAAAAGATTTTTCACCTCACAAGTAAATAGGTAAGTGAAAGCCAAAACCAGCATGAGATATCATTTATTTAACTGTTGGTAAGAATGAAGATTAACTCATGCTCATGGGAGTGTGCTACAGACCGCATGTTTGTGTCCCTAAAATTCTTATGTTGAAATCTAATCCCCAATGTGATGGTATTAGGAGATGAGGTCTTTGGGAGGTGATTAGGTCATGAAGTGGAGCCTTCACGAATGATATCAGTACCATTATTAAAGGAGCCCCAAGAACTTCCTCGCTCTTCTGCCAGGTGAGGACATAGCAAAAAGACCAGGAAGTGAGTTTTCAGCAGACACCAGTTCTGCAAACACCTTAATCTTGGACTTCCAAGCCTCTAGAACTGTGAGAAGTAAGTTTCTGTTTATAAGCCACTCAGTTCCATGGCATTTTGTTATACCAGCCCAAATGGACTAAGATGGTATGCAAAGTGGTATAAAGTTTGAGAAACAGTTTAGCATTATTTCATTAAGGAAAAATGTGTGTATCCCCTATCTCAATAATACCACTCCTAGTTATATACTCTAAACATGTGAAAGAATATTAATATCAAAGCTGCTAACAGTGAGAAAATAAAAACAATGCAAATGCTCACCAATGATAAATTGGATAATTAAGTTGTAGTATGTTCATACCATAGCAATGAAAAGGAATAAATTACAATCATGTTGCAACTTGCATGAATTTTAGGAATATAGTGTTGAGTGAAGGAAACTGTGCAGCAGAACATAAAATCTGATTCCTTGTATATAAAGTTCAAAAACATGTAGAACAAACAGCATACTGTTTAAATACACAAACATAACTTGTAAAACTATAATGAAGAGGAACATTAAATCAAATATGATGTTAGCTCAGAGAAGGGAATAAAGAGAATGGGTAGAATGGGTTTAAGAAGAAGCACCCAGGGAATTTCAAAGGTGATTACAATGATCTTTTTCTTAAAGAGGTTAATGACTACTTGTATTTTCTACCTACTGTTTTTCTTTGCACCTTTTCCATCTAAATTTCTTTAGCAGTAAGATTTAATCCAAATTTTTAAAAAATCTTTTCTTTCCGAAACCCTCAACTCCCTAGCCCCACACCTGAATCCAAATAGCAAGTTCTCTGAAGTTTATCTATTTCTCTTAACTTCTGCCATCATCTCAATTCAAGCTACCATAATGATGCCCTTGTAACCAGTCTCTTACCAGCTCTCTTGTCTTCTTCTTCAATCTATTCATCGTACAGCAACTAATAAGATCTTTCTTAAAACTTAAATACCTTAGGTGATCATGTGTTATTCTCCAGTTTAGAACCATCCAGTGGTTTCCTAGTATTCTTAGAAGTACTCAATTTCTTACCTAGACCTGGAAGTTCTCTATGATCGACCTTCTACGCATGTATTCTATTCTACTTTTCTTTGCTTACTCTGTAGATACTCTGGCCTATTTCTCATTTCTCAAATACACTTGCTCATCACAAGGCTTTTGCCCAATTTCCTCTCCCTGGAATGCTTTTGTTAGGTTCTTTATCGACAGGTTCATTCTCATCATCCAGATTCCAAATATCCTTTCCTCAGAGTTTTTTCAATGCACCTTTGACAGACAGTTTCCCACTAACTGTACCGCCTTGTTCACTTCCTCCATGATGTGCCAATAAGACACTTATTGTCTATCATATAAGTGATAAAACTTGAATATAGGTTTCATAAGAACAGCAATTTTGTTAGTCTTTTCCATGGTTGAATCTACAGAACTTGATATAACCCTTAACACAAGAAAATATTTGTAAAATATTTGCTTTTAAAAAGTCTAAATAAATCAAACACTGTAAAGAAAAGGTTTTTTTTAAATATATAGGTAAAATTAACTATAGGACCAGGTGCTGGTGGCTCATGCCTATGATCCTAGCTACTCAGGAGGCAGGGATCAGGAGGATTGCAGTTCAAAGCCAGCCCAGGCAAATACTTCGTGAGACCCTCAAAAAAAACCATCACAAAAAAGGGTTGGTGGAGTGGCTCAAGTTGTAGACCCTGAGTATTAAGCTCCAGTACTGCAAAAAAAAAAAAAAGAATTAACTATAGGAATACTTCTCTTGTACAACTACATTACTTCTATTTTCTGATTTAGCACAGTATATCCGAAGAATGGTCCCAGTACAGTGTGGTTAGACCAAGAGAAATGGCAGAGATGAGAAAGAAATTATACCATAAAAGAGCCCAACATACCAAAGAAAGTAATTTGGATTTTTATCTTCAAGAGCTAGGGAAGCATTATTGGGTATTATACAAAGAAGAGATATTAGTAGATATATCTTCAGAAAAAAATCACATTGATGGGAATATGGAGAACACAAGCATAGTGATTACAAGCACAAGAGCTGGTGTCAAATAGATCTGGCTACACTATTACTAGCTATGTGATACTGGGCAAGTTGTTCAACTACTATAACAAAAAATTATGTAAAAATATCTACCTCACAAAGTTATTATGAGGACAAAATAATGTATATAAAGTGCTTAGACAATGTATAGCATATAGTAAGAAGTCAGGAAACGTTAGCTGCCATAACCATGATGGAGGTGAAGATGATGATAGTGTGGTGGTAGGTTTGTTATTCTGAAGGATAAAATGATAGGGAACAGACTAGGGCAGGAAATCCTGTTAGAAGGCCCCAATACTAACCCAGACAGGAACAGAGGAACTGAAGTAAAATTACAACAACAGAGATGAAGAAGCAGGGAAAAACTCTAGTGGTATTGCAAAGGGAGGAACCCAGAATTCTCGGTGACAATTGGGGATGACTAATGGAAAGGGAGAGAGAAGGGAAGGGAAGTGAGAGAGAAGGGAAGGGGAGGGGAGGGGAAAGGAGGGGAGGAGAAGGGAGCAGAGAGGAAGGTAGAGACACAGACAGAGAAGAGACAGAGGGGAAGAGGGTCCAGAAGGAAACCTAAGCTTCCACTCATATATTTCTGTGGCTTCACTCCACACCCTCAGTACATTCCAATCTGGCCTGATTAAATTCCTCCAATGACTTCTAGGTGACTAAAACTGATGAGTATTTTGTGGTCTTCATCTTGTGTGCCCTCTCAGGGCATCCAACACTACTATCAATTTGCTCCTTAGCTTCTTGACCCCACAGTGTCTTGGTTTTCATCACATTTCCCTGGTCACCTTTTTTCTGTCTCCTCTGATTATTTACCTTCCTCCCACATCAGTCATTAAAAACCTAAATGCTCAATCTCAGCCCATACCCTCCATTCTGACTCTCCTCAGGCAATATTACTCAAAGGACTTAATCTTCCTTAATCTACAAATTTATTTCTCTATTCTTACTTCTCTTTCAAGAGCCAAAAAACCAGGGGTCACACCTGGCATGCCTTTCTTTCTCAACTTTTATTTTCAATCTATAAATCCTGTCAATCCAACTCCTCATATCTTTTACATGCATCTACTACTCTCCATTTCTTTCTCAAGTCTAGTCCCAGACACTACAATCAATCACTTCAATTTTGTCCTTGCATTCACCAGACCCCACTTCAATCTAATGTCTGCTCTGCACCAGAAAGGTGTTCCTAAAAGGCAAACACGGCCATGACACCACTTACTGAAAATCCTTCAGTGGCTTTGCATTTCCTTTTAGCGGGGCACACAGGCTCCATGTGCCCAGGCCCTGTTGCTCTACTCTTGGGCAGCCTCATTTTAGTCCTTGGCATACACTAGGCTTCATTCTTCTCTAATGTCTTTACATATACTATTCCCACTGGCTAAAAGGATCTTCTGTCCTCCCACTGTGTTACCTACCACTCTTCTCTGTCACTTCCTCAGAGAAGCAGTTGTAGGTAAAATTCACTTTAGTACATACTCCCAACACTACACAGCTGTTTCTGTGTTTGATTAATTTCTATCTTAACAATTTTACTGCAAACTCAAATAGGACAACTGTAGGCCAGATCTATTTTTTTCTTACCATGTGACCTCAGAGAATGGCAAGCCTGTAATCCTTGCTACTCAGGAAACAGAGATCAGGAGGATCATGGTCCAAAGCCAACCCAGGCAAAATAGTTCATGAAACCCTATCTCAAAAAAATTCAACACAAAAACAGGGCTGGAGTAGTGGCTCAAGGTGTATTCCCTGAGTTCAAACCCCAGTACTGCAAAAAAGAGAGAGAGAGAAAGAGACAGACAGAGAGAGAGAGAGAGAGACAGAGAATGCCTTAGAAAATATTTGATGAATAAATGAACAAGAAAATGAATAAACCAGAAGAAAATGGTATCCCAAAACTAAGAGAAGATAAGAGTACTTAAATGGGAGTGGTTTAAAGAGGTCAAGAAAAACCCAACCAGAAAAGTCTTCAGATGATTCAACTGATTCTAGAGATCTTCTACCCTAAGCAGATTAAGAGATCAGAACAAACTACTAAAACATCTTAAATGTTTTATTATTCTTAACAGCAGTGTCATTTAAACTATATACAATATTTTAGTTCAGCAATATTAAAAATGGTCTATTCATTCTGTTTCCAAAACCTGCAAAGAGCATTCTTTCTCTGATGAGTTAAAAGGAGAGGATAATTATAAATAACACTAAAATTATTAATTACCTTCATCAATGTACCATGTATTTTTTGATTTGGATTGTGGTTGTGAGTCAACAGAAGACCCATTTAAGGTATAAAATAATTCAGATCTGTTTCTATTTCCAGGGTCTGAGGTAGATCCTATGGAACAAGAAAAGTTCCTTTAAAAAATAATCAATATGGTGTTAAAGGGTTTTTTTTAATAAGAGAAGGTGATATGTATATGGTGTTAACAACTATTCACACAACCAATAGATGTATACAAACAATATATTTTATTGTTGTCTTCAGTTTTTAAAAATTTGGTAACCATTTTGGTCACATTAAAAAGATCCTTCATTCCTAGAGTTAATACAGGAAGGGAACAGGAAATGAAAATCTACTCATTTTTTTTCTTTTGTTGACCTACTCATTTTTTTAATCCAAATTGCTTTTAAGAAATCATTATATGTGTTACATATTATTACTAAATACCAAAATCACCATTTCCCAGTTTCATTTGGTGAATCTATTGGTTCAAAAACTAATGACAAACTGCATATATGTGAGTATTACACTACATAGCCTAGTATGCAATAAGCTACACTGCCAGGGTTTGTAAATTACACTCTATGATGTTCACACAAAGATTAAATGCCCTAACAATGCATTTCTCAGAATGTATCCCCATCAATATGTGACTATCTTTTAAAATAGTTCCTTTCAGGAGAAAGTAATCTTCAAATGCTGAATACTTATCAGTTCATAAATTAAGTTTTAAAAGATTTAAGGCTTAGTGTGTATAGCTCAGGGGTAAACTACTTGCTTAGCATATGTGAGGCCCTGGATTGAATCCCCAGGACCAAAAAAAAGAAAAAAAAGGGGGTGTAAAAACTTTAGGGGCTATGGCTATATAGCTGAGTGCTAGAGTGCTTGCCTAGCATGAGTAAGCCCCTGAGTTTGATCCCCAACACAGCTAAAAAACAAGAATTTTTAAAGACTTTAAGATTTAATATTTAAACATTTTAGAATTGGTCATCACATTCCTTGCTTAATTTCCTCATGTCTGAAAAAATGTAGCACCACTGTGTCTTTTTTTTTTGGTAGCAGAACTGGGGCTTGAACTCAGAACCTTCACCTTGAGCCACTCTACCAGTCCTTTTTGTGATGGGTATTTTCAAGATAGGGTCTTGCCGAACTATTTGCCCAGGCTGCCTTCAAACCGCAATCCTCCTCATCTCTGCATCCTGAGTAGCTAGGATTACAGTTGTGAGCCATGGGTGCCTGGCTACCATTGTGTCTTGTATATCAGATTTACTAAATGCAACAAAAAGCATTACTATGTCACAGATATTTCCAGACTGCCCTAACACAGTATTAACTAAAAGGAGGCACACCACAGTGGAGAGCAGTGACACAGAAGCCATTTTTTTTTCAACTTAAAACAGATAGCTCCATACTTTATAGCTTTAACTTGGACCTACTATAACACAATTAACACCTCATGCCTTAAGGAAATCTGACACTGAGTATGGTGGTACACACCTGTAGTCCCAGATACTAGGGAGGCTAAACCAGGAGGATTGCTTGAGGCCAGGAGTTCAAGGCCAGCCTGGAGAACATAGCAAGACTCAGTCTCAGAAAAGGAAATCTTTAGTTTTTTAATATGCAAGTAAGAGTAGCATGTTTGAGCTATTCCATATGGATACAAAGGTTACCTACATGTCCTGTATTAATACTAAGTCTCAGGGCCCAGTATTTCTTAATGTACAATTTTCTTTTAAACAAGCAAAAATAATTTTGTTCACTAGTTGTTTGAGGAAAAAATATCCTCCTAACCCACATCTGAGCTAACAAAAATTCTTACAGCTTTTTAAATAAGTTGTTGAACTGGTTTAACTACCACCCCATAAATCTGTGAAGTATGTGGAAGCCAATGGAAAAAGAGCTATGAACTCCATGTGTATCATGAGGAAGCTTCTGGAAGAGAGCTGAATTTTTGCTTAGCATTTTGGAATATGTGCCACTTCTAGTTAGCAAAATCCACATAATTAATCCCCATTATCCTTTATCCTACATAATACTATCCATATATAATTATTTTATACAGTTAAACTACTATTTATACAATTGTTTATACAGATGCTTATATAGTTGTAACAATGTTACAAGTAAGGTGTTTCAAAAAACCAGCTAATTATGGACCAGAAAAGAAACAAGTCCTCACAGGAAACTTCTCACCTGGTAAAAAAAAAAAAAAAACATGGGGAATGCTGGATTTAAGCAACACTGTCTATATAAAATTATAGTTTAACTACTTAAAATGTCTGAAAGAAAAAAAAGTCTACATACATGTTAAGGATGCCTGGGCAAATCAGATATCATGTAAATTACCAAGAATTGTACCCTATTAATCCATACCTGTAACCTTTGGTTTATTATGACTGGATGGACCTTTGTCCCCAACACCTCTTGACATAAAGGCAAGTTTGAGAGGCCTTCTTTCCTGTGTCACGCTATCTGAAACAGTAAACACGCTTTTTAAAGATAATTCTTCTAGAAGATAAATAATTAAGCAAACAATGACAATAACAGAAACAAAAGAAAATCTTTCTTATAAAAAAGCACACTTTTTACAGTTGTACAAACTTTTTTTAAAGATCATCAAAAGTAGTGAAAGAAGTAGTATCTCAGGGGAAAAAATATAACACTGTACTTCAAAATGTAATTTCTACCAAAAATACACTCCCAAAACACAATTAGGCTAATTGTCTTAAATGCTTGAAAACTTGACCACATGTAGTCAATTTTATTTGATGTTTTCAAACACTACAAAGAAAGCCTTATTTATAATTTTACAGCATTTCCTAAAAACCTTATTTATATTTTTATAGCATTTCCCAAATCAGTATGCTCTGTCCTTCCCTACGTACTATGAAGTGTTCTACGCTCAAATATTTCTAGAGGATGCTGAGATAAACAAAGACAATTTCTTTACTGCATAAAACCAGAATCTTTATGTACTAATGTGTCTTGTGAATCTCTCAAGGATGGATATAGTAAACTTATTTAACAATACATTTTGTGCCACTCCACTTAGTATCTCAGGTCAATATATTTCACAGAACGCAGTTTGAAGAAAGTCTGGGTAGGAATATGGATCATTGTTAGGAATGCAATAATGAGGAACATGCATTTATTTTTAAAAACACATGTATGTTAAGAATAATATAGATGTGTATACAAACACACATAAACAGGAAAAACATGGAGAATTACACATAAATTAGTAATGCAAAAAGCTGGGGACACACAATATTTTTTAAGAAAACACTGTTAACCTCTCTTTGGAATATAGTTGTAATAAATGTGTTTTTTATACAAAGATCATTCTAACCATTAAAAGCTAGTAACATTCATAGGACATTAATAAGTACTGATCAAATAAAGGTAGATGAGTCAGTATGGAAAATCTTTCCCTTCAGAAGTTCAATAACACATCCATGAAGTTTAATATGACACTTAGGAATCATGCCTGATAAAGCTATATATCACCAAAAATGGTACCCACCCACAGGAGATTTTTGAGGACAAAAAGAAAAAAACTAGGGAAATTTTTGCATTTTAAACACAAAAAAACATACCAAATTAATTGTATGTAAAAAATGCTCGGTATCTTTTTTTCCATGGCTGGAGGAGGGGTATATATCATTAAACATCTCAAAATATGATCAAATGGAATATTGGAATGTTATTTTAATTAAAAATCATACTGACTTTTCATGATTTTAACAAATGATATTGTAAAAGAAGTGGTATTTACAAATACTTTTATGATTTTACCATTCAGATATCTGTAAATGTCACCTATGACAGCTACTGTGGAAGAAAAAGCTTGTCACTAGAAAAGGTTCTCAAATTATAGCAGATAAGCTGACTAAAGATAATGCTCACTATAACTGTAATTAACTGCACATAACTCCATTTGAAAAGAGACATCCACATATATACCATAACACATGTATGTTACACAAAGGTTCTCCCCTTGTTAGGCTGTGAAGGCAGCTGAGTGGTATGAGCCAAACATAGAGCCAAATGAATGAGGCAAGACACCAGCTCTGCTAGTGATGCTGTGTGGGGTGGGAGTGGAGTCCAAAGATTGGAATGTGAGCTGGAAGGCACTGGAATTGGAAACTGAAGCTATCTTCTGCCAAAGGCATTGTCTGGGAGGGGGTCAAAAATCAACTTTGAGGAATAGGACATGTAACAGGATTCTGTGCAGATAAAGGGTCATGCACCACAGCTACCTTGCCCTCTACAACAATTACATACCAAATATATGTTTATGATCCAAAATCACTTGGATCACAAAGCAAAGCCTTCTGACTTAAATAAATGTTAAAAGGTTATCAACTTAGGAAAAGGTAAATATGGGAGAGTAAACAAAGAAGGAATAAATTCAGTAAACAATTTTGTAAGATTAAAATGATCCTAATTAAAGATGGCAAGATATGTCCACTAAACCATGCACACAAAAATGTACCCTATTCATAATAAGCAAAAGCTGGAAACAATCCACTGTACAGAAGAATGGATAAACAAATGTCTGTTCATTCGCATTACACAGCAATAAAAAATGAATAAATTACTGGCAAACATAAGAATATGAACACTGTGTTGGGCAAAAAACAAAAAACCAGACCTAAAGTATACATAATATATACACAGCAGGATTACATTCAAAATAATAAAATCAGTAGATTATTTGCTGCTCTTTTTGATTTAATCAGAAAAAGAAAAATCCTTTGGAGAATATTGGGTTGAAAAATCATTAACAATAAAACAGTGAAGAAGTTATATTATTAACCAAAAGAAATGTCTGTGAATTTGAATGACCCATTAAATTTAGAGAAATTGCTTAATTGACCTACTACTTGACATCATCACTCACAGAGCATAATTCAGAGCCAAAAGAATGAAAGAAACCTAAATGCTCATTCATAGGGAATTGGTTTAAAAAGTTATGGTACATTCATAAAATGAAATAAGATATAATAATTTAAATAAAAGAGTAAATATGCAATTTATGTGCTGATACGAAATGATTTTCATCTCTACTGTTAACTTAAAAAGATAAAGTAGATGTATGTTTCCCTATTCCT